TTTTTTTTTTTTTTTAAGTGTATTTGGTACAGGGTCTCACTGCACAGCTCGGACTCATGGTGATCCTCTTGTTCTCAGCCTCCCCAGACCTGGGATTATAGGGGTGCACCACCAAGCCCTGTCTCAGTGGCTGGCTCAGTGCACCTGGGGGTGGGGCCAGTGCAGCAGGTGGTGCAGGGGGATTTGAACCCTGGTCCCTGCACTTGCCTAAGCAGACACTTAGTCTGCTGAGCTATCTTGTTGGCCAAGGCAGGGAATTTTTTTTTTTTTTTCAGAACCAGGGATTGAACTCAGACCCTTGCACTTGCAAGCAAGCACTTATTCTACTGAGCCATCTCCCCAGCCCTGAGAATTTTTTAGTTAGTTCCCATCTGCCATTCTCAGAGTGTTGATTACTTTCTCAGACTCATCTCCTCATGGTTTTAAAATGACTCCCTGTCCTCTCACTCCCCATTCCAAGGTAACAATGAATTTTTCTTCTTGCATGTTAACTTTTATCATGGAAAAAAATCCTTTATTTCTATCCAACAGATCTGCCCTTTGTGGTTTGTCTCCTGTGGCCTAGGAGATGCCCACCTTCCCTGGGCACAATGCTATCAAGATCTAAATAGACCTTAGTCCTGTGAGCCAGAAAATGGTAGGACTTTTCTCAATCCTAATCTTCTGTCCCTGGAAGATGGTGTCAACCTGCCTCCAGGATAATTCAGCAGGGATAGGAGGCTGTTGGTCCCTGAGTCACCTATCTAGGTTCATTTCTCTCTCTGTGACCCACCCAAAGGTTGCTTCACCCCTCTGGGCCTGAGTTTTGTGATCCCATTAAATGAAGATATAATGGTTCTGTGTTGTGTCAGAACTTGCTGAGATGATGAAATGAAATAATCTATGCAAGGTTCTTAGTGCCATGCTTGGCATATTTTAAGCACTCAGCAAAAACTAGCCATTAGTGCTGGGTGTGGTGGCACATGTCTAGGCCTTCTTTCCTGCAGTTGGACCCTCTTACTATGTGGCCCAAACTGGCCTCAAATTCCTTGGGACCCTCCTGCCTCAGCCTCCCGAGTGCTAGGATCACAGGGGTACGTCACCGCACCCACTTGCTCCTCTTTCTTGAGGCCCCATGTGCTCCTCCTGGTGTTTCACAGCCTCGGAGGCTCATCCTGGGGTCTGCCCTAGGCTTTCCCCTAGCTCTTTAGACCAGATGTCCCTGCCCTGGTGACATCAGCAGCGTATGAACAAGGAAGGTGTCCTAAACAGTGCGGAGAAAAAGTGAAATGTGTACAGAGCCCGAGGGAGCCTCTAGTTAACTCCCAAGTGTCTGAGCCTGGCTTTCCGATGTTCCTTGAGTTATTCTTGCCTGTCTCTCTTCTTGGGCTGTGAGTATCTCAAAACAGGGACCCAGATCACTCATCTCTCTGTCACCTTGGTGCACAGGAAGACACCCAATGCATGAGTAAGTGGCTCTGCCACTTCCTCTCTGCGTGACTTTGCACAAGATCTTTCCTTCTCCAGGCCAAATTTCAGTATCTACCAGGTAGATCCCCAAAGGGGATGGAGAGTTGAGCTGCCTGGTGTGGCCTCTTCAGGGCCTCTGCTAAGTGCTGTCCTCCTGTCTGAGGTGGCAGCGTAGGCTGGGAGGGGCTGCCGGCCCCACCTGTGGAACTTTCTGAGTGTCCAGTAAGGGGTGTTGGCTTAACCCCTGCAGCCCCGGGGTACCCCTCTCTGTGTCCCATCCCCTGCTCACTAACCTGGCCAGGGGGACCTCCATTCCTGGAGGAAACCTCGGTACCAGCCCTCCTCTAAGGCCTCTGGACAGGCTGTTCTTGTTTACGACCCCCGTCCCAGGGGAACAGGATTGCTCACCCTGCATGTGATTTGAGAGGGCAGAGTCTTTGAGCCCTGGAGGAAACTCAAGCCCCGCCAGCCACTTGGCATCGGAATGCTCAGCTGGTCCCCTCTTGGGTGAGGCTCATGTGATCTGACCGAGGCTCAGCTATAAATATCAAAGGGGCCTCAGAGCAAGACAGAATTCGGACACCGGGAGGAGCCGGCAAAGAGGATCCGAGCTGGTGTTTTGTAGTCTAAGCAAGAAGCTCGGGTCAGTTTAGAGCGAGACAGGTGGAGACTGTGGCCGCGCCTTCGCACAGTATGGATTATAAGCCCAGCCTGATCCCCGATGGGAACCCCATGGAGAACCTGGAGAAGCAGCTGATCTGTCCCATCTGTCTGGAGATGTTTACCAAGCCTGTGGTCATCTTACCTTGCCAGCACAATCTCTGCCGGAAGTGTGCCAACGACATCTTCCAGGTCAGGGGGGACATGGCCCAGCTCTCAGGGCCCCAGGTGCTTATGTGGCTTCCCTTCCCTCTCAGCCTGCGACCCCTGCACCGAGGCCTGGCTCTTCCCCTGATGAGGCCACTGGACCAGGCTGGGGGTGGGGAGGCAGTGCTGGCTGGCCCGGGCCTTCTCCATGACGCATGTCCCCTCCCCATGCTGCCCACGCTGCCCAGCACTGCTCGCTGTTGACTCCCTAGTCAAGAGTCAAATGCCTCAAGTGATAAGTGGGGGAGGCAGGCGGCAAGGAGACAGAAACCAGACTCCTGGGCCAGAGCCAGCTCCAGAGTGGCAGGGGCCCCAGAGCTTTGGGAGGGGATGGCAGGGAGGCCCTTTGGGGCTGTTTGCTCCAGTCTGGGGGCAATAGGGCTCCATCTTCCTGAGAAAGGAGGGGGAATAGATGTACAGTCTGGGAGGCAAGGAGTCAAGGTCCCCAGGGACATGACACACATGTCCTTTCACTTCCTGTTATGGCTTGTGTCTAGCTGTCCCCCCAAACCCTTATGTAGTCATAAGGGTGGCTTCTAGAGTTTATTATTGATTCACGGTCTGATGAGGGGATTCTGGGCTTGAGAGCTCCACCTGCCCTAGGGCGGGTAGCCCGAATACAGTAAGGGAGGGAGAGAGGCTTGCCCTCTGCTGCTGCTCCGTTTGTTCTTGCTGTTTTTGTTGCCTTCCACCGCCATGAACTGTCCCCCTTCTGCTCTGTGCCACCCTGCCTCAGGGCCAGCCAAGTAAGGACTGAGACCCCAACCACAAACTGTGAGCTAAATAAACCTTCCCTTCCTTAATTCTGGTTGTCAGGAGTTTTGTCTCAGCAGTGACTGAGGCACAGAGAGAAAAAGGTGTACCTTTCTAGCTAGCTCGAAGTCACTCGTAGAACGGCTGTGACTTGAACTCAAGGTCGGCTGTCCCCTGAGCTGGCCCATTGCTTGGCTGCTTCTCAGGCGCTCCGTGTACAGGTGGCTTGGTTCTGCATCAAGACGGGGACCTCAGGGCCTTTGATGTGACAGTGTGGTTGGGGCCATGCGGCTAGGAGGATGGGACTAGGAAGGGAAGGGACGGAGGAGGGAGCGCGTGATGGGGCTAGGAGGATGGGACTGGGAAGGGACGGAGGAGGGAGCGCGTGATGGGGCTAGGAGGATGGGACTGGGAAGGGACGGAGGAGGGAGCGCTGGCCTCACTCTGCCTCGGCTATTTGCAGGCTGCAAATCCCTACTGGACCACCCGGGGTGGCTCGGTGTCTATGTCGGGAGGCCGCTTCCGCTGTCCCTCATGCCGCCATGAGGTGATCATGGACCGCCACGGGGTGTACGGGCTGCAGAGGAACCTGTTGGTGGAGAATATCATTGACATCTACAAACAGGAGTGTTCCAGGTCAGTGTGTGGTTGTGGGAGCCCCTCCTCCTCCTTAGCCCACCCCCAGCCCCCCGTAGCCTCCTGTCTGCCCTCCTAGGACCCAGTCCCTAACTAGAGAGCCAGGCTGGTCATCTCCAGAAGCCACTGCACTCCTCTCTGGAGTGTGTGTGGCAGGGGAGTGCCCAGAATCCCCAGGCCTGCTCTCAGCCTCCTCCAGTTCTAGGGAAGGGACCCAGAGATCAGGCTGCCCTCTTGGGGGACACTGAAGGGAAGGTGGATTTGAGAGGGGTGGGGCCAGCAAGGCAGCCCTGGTCAGCAAGGCAGCATCCAGTAGTAATGCAGCTGGGCTGTATCCAAGGATGGCCAGAGTGGCCTGTGTGGGCAGTGTCATGATGCCACGGGGTGATTGGGGGGACTTCATCTTGGGGCCTCACAGCAACCCTGTGGATCTGGGAAGACTTTTATTACTCCGTTTATGGAAGCAGAGGCTCTGGAGAGTTGGCCAGGTCTTGTTCTAAGTCTGCCTTTAATGAAAGAGCAGAATTCATGAGTGGTGGGGACTGTGCTGTGTTGGGCATGAAACTGGAGAGGAACAGGGACAGATCCTTACAGAAAAAAACACCTGGTTGAGGATGCGGCTCAAAGGGAGAACCTGTGCTTAGCAGGCCCGAGGCCCGAGGTTCTGTGAGCAGCACCACACCACAGAAATAAAGGTGACACCAACCTACTAGAGTGTCAGGTACACTAGTTTGCTTTCCCCAAAGTCAAAGAATAAATTCCAAGAAATAATGGAGGGTAAGAGTAGAGAAATTTACTGTGAAGTAGGAATAGCTCCTGAGAGACAGCAGGGGTCCTCAGTGGGGTGCCAACCAGCCCACTTCTCTGAAGAGAAGAGTAAGTCATGAGGTGGGTACAGTGTGGGTCAAAACTATAATTAACCAATAAGATTACAAGTATAGCCATTTGACTAACGTTGATCTGATAGTAGAAGGGCATATGGGTGACAGCATTCACTTTGGTCAATAATTTAGAGTTTTAGTCTTAGTGGGTGGGAGAAGATGGCCCACCCCTGATGAGATAGTGGTTTATGTATATAGGAACTCTCAAAAGGGTTAGGACCAATAATCTGAAGCTTCCATCTATCCCTTAGGGAAGTATGTTAATCTGGCCACTGTGATTTTAATCTTCAGATGTCCTCTATCCATAATTTCTTTTATTTTTTCAGAGAGGGTCTAGTTATGTGGTTTAGGCAGGTGTGGAATTCATGTTAATCCTCCTGCCTCAGCCTCCTGAGTGCTGAGAATACAGGCATGTGCCACAATGCCTGGCTTCAGCCACAGTTTTCTATAGTGACTCCCTTGAGGGCCAAGCCCTGTCTGATTGCCTATAGTATTTCTACCTCACTTAGCTGTCTATAGTAGTGAAGCCTGAATGATGGTTTGTGTTGCTGGAGTTCAGAAATCCTCCTAGTTTAGGAAGTGACCATTGCCCTGAAAGACACACACAGAATGTGCCAGATGCCCAAAGTGGAGCGAGCGATACGTGGAGAAAGGCATTCTAAGAATGTATGTCCATGCGAACACAGAGGCATAGAACATGACAGCAGTCATTCTAACCTGTTTCAGCCAGTGTTTTCTAAAATACAAACACCATGAAGTGGAAATTAAAAAAATGTGTGTTTGAGAAGAATAAGAAAGAAAGGAGTGTGCACCATGCAGAGACTTCTGGTGGGCAGCAAGGGCTTGTCCTGGGCCACCAGATCTCCCCAAACCTCCCCGGGCGCTAGGCTCTTGTAGTTGTGTTACCCGGAGCACCGACACGACCCCCTCTGAGCCTCAGAGACTCCAGGGCATGTTTAATTGATTTTTTTCTTTCTACCTGGCCTTAATCGCCACCTCCTCCACATAGGCCCTGTACACTGTAGACTTAGGGGTAAAGAAAATAGGCAACTTGCCCTGCCTGGGTGGAAGGGTACAGTCTAGAGAATTAAATATAGAATTCAGTGAGGCCATCAGTAGAAATTGCTTAGCTGGAAGCCTGACCTGCACGGACTAAGCAATGGGTTCTATAATTAGAGTGAAAGACCTCTAGCCTCCCCTGCCCTGGCTCGTTGTGTGCCCTTGGGTAAGTCCGTTCACTTCCTGAGACCCCATTTCCTGTTCTCTAAAACATCTCTAGGTAGGTCTAGAATTTCCCAAGTGTTTGCGCTGACAGTAGCTCTGGCTGATTCCAGCCTTGGGATTTGAGTCTCAGGACATAGGGACAGGTTTGGTGGGTGTCATTGGGTTCTATTGTCTTGGGTCTCCAGAAGATGAACAGTTTGGGAGCAGCCCGTCGCTGAGGGTTCAGGGAATACACCTGGGGTGGCCTCCTGTGACTGGAGCCAGGGAAGGAGATATGAACTGAGGAGCTGCCTCCAACTTGTGACTGTCCCTTCCCCACCCCAGTCGGCCCCTGCAGAAGGGCAGCCACCCGATGTGCAAGGAGCACGAAGATGAAAAAATCAACATCTACTGCCTCACGTGTGAGGTGCCCACGTGCTCCATGTGCAAGGTGTTTGGGGCTCACCAGGCCTGTGAGGTGGCCCCGCTCCAGAGTGTCTTCCAGGGACAGAAGGTACAAGCTCCAGCCCCTGTTTTCCCCAATGATCCCCAGGAGCGGATTTGATCTCCTGCGTTCTGCTGAGCCGGCCTTTCAGGAATAGTCCCTCTGGAGGGACTTCCCAGGCCAAGGCACAGCAGCCCTCGCCTCCTTGGGGGGAGGTGGCTGAGCTCATGGGTTATACTTAGAGCCACTTGGATGTGGCCAAGAGGAGAGGTCCGACCCCAGGGCCAGGCCACCAGGCCCTCTCAGGCCAGAGCTTCTCCATCCAGAGCATTTGGGTCCCACATACCTCTTGAGCCTCTCACTTCTCCCCAATCTTAAATTCCCCTGCAGTGGGAAACAGCTTAAAGCCTTTCTCGGGACCACTGGCAGCCCCACCAGGCTGCCCAGGCCGAAAGCAGCGGCCCTTCTTTCTGTGTTCTTCCCCTTTCACCCACCCTGGTCTCTCTTCTCTTAGAACTGTCCAACTCTTATTTCTTTTCTCCAGGACTAACCAGTCTTCTGTTAGTACCTTGCTGGGTATTTTGGGCAATTTTCCCCTCAGGACTTCATCTGTAAAATAAGGGATACAGAGCCAGGTGTGGTGGTGCATACCTGTAATCCCAGCTCTTGTAAAGCTGAGGCAAGAGGATCACCCTGAGTATGAGACCAGCCTGGGCTACGTAGTAACTTTAAGCCCAGTCTGAACTACATAGCAAGCACCTATCTCAAAAAAACCCCAAAATAGAGAAATAAAGGCTACAGTATAGTTTTGACGATTCTCTGCTCTGGACCTGAGCTGTAACCCAGAAACATGGATCCCACCCTACTTTCTAGCAGAGGGGACTCCTAGGCTGCTGTGTGGACGCCACATCTGAGCCACCTGGTCATGATGCTGTCTGTCTCCTCTTTTGCCTTCTCCCTTCATCTAGACTGAGCTGAGCAACTGCATCTCCATGCTGGTGGCGGGGAATGACCGCATGCAGACCATCATCACGCAGCTGGAGGACTCTAGTAGGGTGACCAAGGTGAGGGGATGGAAAGGCCCTGACTGGGGGTCTGAGGCTGCCTGGTATAACTTCTCTGGGAAAGGCTCACCCATGGGCTGGGACTGGAGTCTGGGGTGGCCAACAGGGAATGCCGGGGAGGGACGAATGCACCATCCTCCTGCTCAACAAGCGCTCCTTGAGCACAATGGAATCAGGCCCTACTTAAAGCACTGGGGACTGGGCACGAGCAACAGACCTGGCCCCTGAGCTCAGAAGGTGGCTCATCCTGCCAGTCACATCAGTGTTTATTCAGCACAGAGGACTTTCAGAGCTCTACTCTCCAGGGGGCTGCAGACCAAGGCTTCTCAAACTTTAGAGACACACACATCCCCCTGGGCCTTGTGAAAACTCAGGTTCTGGTCCAGTAGGTTTGGAATGAAGCATGCGATTCTGCATTCCTGGCCTGCGTCCAGGGGTTATACTTGGGGTTACAGTTCTAGCAGGCACCCGGACTATACTTAGAGCCGCAAGACTGCAGAGGACAGAAGGGGACAGCATCTGGGATCACCCTAGAGTGGCCCTGGCCTAACAGGGGCTACCATCATACCCATTTAACAGAGAAGGTAGTTAAGAGATGCATACATTGGTGTTGGAGAGGAGGGAGCTTTGGCTACGTGGGCTGTTGGGGACTGCTGTCTTCCCCCCTCCTCTGGAACCAAGTGCCACCCACTTTTCCAGAGTCCAGCCTCAGCTTAGCATTGAGAGAAACTTGTGAGTGGGGCGTTGGAAGGGCTCATGCCGTGCGACCCGAGAGTCTGCACCTGTTCTCCAGTGTGCGTGTGTCACAGAGCAGCTGCAACACCTTCCAGGTGCTCTCTTCCCAGGAGCTCTCCTGCCTGCTGTTGAATGGGCTTTTGGTTGCTGGCTCCTGGGTCTACCCATCCTGGGAAGGGAGCAAGGACTCCCCAGGATGTGACTGTAGGGCTTGTCCCCTCAGGAGAACAGTCACCAGGTGAAGGAAGAGCTGAGCCACAAGTTTGACACGCTGTACGCCATACTGGACGAGAAGAAGAGTGAGCTGCTACAGAGGATCACACAGGAGCAGGAAAAGAAGCTGAGTTTCACCGAGGCCCTCATCCAGCAGTACCGGGAGCAGCTGGACAAGTCCACCAAGCTGGTGGAGACAGCCGTCCAGTCCCTGGATGAGCCTGGCGGGGCCACCTTCCTCCTGGTGAGCAGGCTTCTGTTGTGCTCCCCGCTGACCACACCCCTGGGTCCTTGTGAGTCTAGGTGCGCTTATCTGGAAAGTGGGCAGCCCCAGCCCCTGCTTTCCTCCTACTGATTTTATGAGGTTCAAATAAGAGGATGTTTGTGAAGCTGTAGAAGCTGCAAAATGCAACATCCTACACAGAGACTGTTCGTTGAGCGCCTACTGTGGCCAGGATTAAGGGGGTGACCCAGAGCTCAACAAGACACAACTGTGACCTAGAAGAGCTTATTAGGGATGACACAGAGGCTCAGCTCTAAGAGTTCAAAGTTCAGTTCATTCAAAAATTCCTCGGCTCCTCCCATGGGCCAGGATTTGGGCTGAACCTTGGGTCTGAAAAGGTATCTAGGCTATGATTCTCACTGAGAGGCTTCCATGCCTAGGCGCCTTGAGATGGATAACCTTGAGAATCTGGATTTCTGCAAGGACAATTGGAGGGTCCTGGGTGCTGACCAAGACCTATACAGATCAGGACAGAGGGTTGAGAAGTCCAAGTTCTGTTCAGAGTGGGGCAGGGCCAGGCTAGGAAATGACACCCAGTGGCTGTCTGGAACACTCAGTGGCTGGTCTTGCACATTCCCTGGGGTCACCACTTCTGTAGTCCTGACTCTCTCTCTCTTCTCCTCCCACAGAGCGCCAAGCAACTCATCCAGAGGTCAGTGTCTTCCTGGGGCTATGGCCCAATCTCCCAGTTCTTCCTTCCTTTCCTTTTTTTTAAAATCCCAGAATTCAGACTCAGGACCTTGCACTTGCCAGGCAGACACTTGTGCCCACTGAGCTATATCCCTGGCTCACTTCCAGTTCTTGTAGAGCCCCTGATGAATTTCTAGAGAAACCCCATACATCAGGTCTCAGGGGATCCCCTGGGCCAGCTTCCCTGGCCTTTGCATCCCCCACTTTCTTGGTCCATTTGTTCTGCTTGAGACTGAACAGGAAACACCTCACCCTGGGGTTGGGGCTGTCACTGCCAGGCTAGGCCTGAGCTCAGCATGGTGCTGGAGGGGCTGGACTAAGACACCGAGCCCCTGGATCTTACTGTGCCTCTCTCTTTCCCATCCAGCATCGTGGAGGCTTCCAAGGGCTGCCAGCTGGGGAAGACAGAGCAGGGCTTTGAAAACATGGACTACTTCACTCTGGATTTAGAGCATATAGAAGACGCCCTGAGGGCCATCGACTTTGGGATAGGTAAAGGAGATGTGGTACCACTTGTCTTATCTCTTACCCGCTGACCCTTGAAAGCTGGCGTCCCTCCCACTGGGCCCTGTGGAGAGGCAGTTTCACTAACAAAGATTCCTAGCTGTCCAGCCAAATGGACACAACCAACTTCTAGATGAGCCCGGAGTCCAGCATAGGGCCAGGTGTGGTACTGTCACTCAGTAAATTATCCAGGCGTGGTGGCACATGCTTGTAATCCCAGCACTTGGGAGGCTGAGGCAGGAGGATTGTTGCGAGTTCAAGACCAGCCTGGGCTACAAAGTGAGCTCAAGGCCAGCCTGAAGAGGGCCAGCCTGCACAGAGAGACCCTGTCTCAAAAAGACAAAAAAGAAAAAAAAAAAAAAGTGCGTGGATCCAATGCTCACAGCATCTGGAATCAGACAGCCCTGAGTTCAAATTCTGATTCCGCTTTTGTGTGTTATCTAGGTGTCCCCACTCCTCTCTGCTTCCCTGCACTTAATTTTCTAATGTTAAAACGTATTTTGAAAGTGTGTCTTCTAAGAATGAGTCTCCTTGGCGCTGCTGCAACAGATCAGATGTGGATGCAGAAGGGTTTTGTGTGGTACTGGACATAGTATGGTGGTTACTGCCTAAGGCCAGTCTTAGTTTCAGTCTCTTAATGCTGTTGCCTATGATACTCAGGCATGTTAATTACCTACGTTAGATCCTCTTTCTGGTTATTATATTTTTCATGCGTTTGGCACAGGGTCTCACTATGCAGCTCAGACTCGTAGTGATCCTCCTGTTTATAACCTCCCCAGCACTGGGATTATAGGAATGCACAACCATGCCGCAGTCTCTGTGGCACGGCTCAGCGTGCCTGGGGCCATGGTTTGTGATGCTGGGGACTGAACCCCTGTGCCTGTGCTTGCCTAAGTAGGCGCTTAGTCTGCTGAACTATCTCACAGGCCCTCCTCTTTCTGTTTATAATTATTCTTCCAGGGCCAGCCAAGTAGCTCAGTGGATTAAAGCATCTGCAAACAGGTGCTGGGGGCCAAGGGTTCTATCCCTGGGCCTTCCCTGCCAGCCCTGCCCCTGGGGCATGCTGAGACAGGCATGGTGGCACACGCCTGTAATCCCAGCTCTTGGGAGGCTGTAAACAGGCAGATCACTACGAGTCCGATCTAGTAGTGAGACCCTGAACACCCTCTAGACCCTTCCCTAAAATACAAAAAACAAAGAAAAAAATATACATAATTATTCTTCCATAGAGTACCTTTTACCACTGTAACCATAACAATAAGTAGGAAAAATGAAAAAACTGATGAGAAGTAATGATATTACTCTGTTGAAGTCCACATAGCTGAAAGGTAGCTATTTAGCAACAGAGACAGAGGGATGATTTTTTTGTTTGTTTGTTTTTTTGTTTTATTTACTTATTTATTTTTTGGTGGAACCGGGGATTGAACTCAGGCCCTTACGCTTGCCAGGGAAGTGCTTATTCCACTGAGCCACCACCCCCAGCCCCCTATTTTTGTTTTAGATAAGTTCTTACTATATAGTCCAGGCTGGCCTTGAACTCATGGCAATCCTCCTTCCTGGGCCAACCGAGTGTGCAGATTACAGTTTGAGAGAGTGTTACACTAGGTTGCACTGGTTGGTGTAAGAGTGGCTGCTCTGATATGCAGCGAGAGTGGGAGGGAGAAGGAGAGGTAAGTGTGGGCATGAGGAAGAACTGTAACGGCCTGGCATGGAGAGAAACTTCCTAGCAGCCTCCGCCAAAGGTCTCCTCTATACTTTCAGGATCTTGTGCCACGTGTATTTTCAGAGCCATGTGTGGCAGTAGATAGCTGTAATCCTGGAACTGTGGGAGGCTGGGGCAGGAGGATCACAAGTTTGAACTCAGCCTGGGCAACTTAGTGAGACCCTGTCTCAGAATAAAATTTAAAAGTCCAGTGCAATGTTCCTGTGTTCAATTCCCAGGACATGCAAACACACATATATGCATGTGTACATATGTATGTAAGTACATGTCTGGTGCAAAAATAGAGATCTTGGGGCCAGGGAGATGGCTTAGTAGAATAAGTGCTTCCCTGACAAGCGCAAGGGTCTGAGTTCAATCCCCGGTTCCACCAAAGAAAAACAACAACAACAAACAAACAAAAAATAGTGATCTGTTCTCAGAGGCCCAGGTTTATCTCATTTATGAATAAGGACAAAGGGCCTGTGAGATAGCTCAGCAGACTAAGCATCTGCTTGGGCCAGTACAGGGGCCAGGGTTCGATACCTAGCACCACATGCAGTGCCAGCCCCACCCTGGGACACACTTAGCCGGCCACCAAGTCTGGGCATGGTGGCGTGAGCCTGTAATCCCAGCACCGGGGAGGCAGAAAACAGGAGGATCACTATGAGTCTGAGCTGTGTAGTGAGACCCTGCACAATTTAAAAATTTAAAAAGAGTAAGGATAGGATGTGTGCCAAAGGTGAGACACCAGTGGACTTGGGCCCATCCCTAGCTGACGATTTTCTGCTCCGTAGCTACTATGTTTATTTTTCTCACTGCTGAGACAAAATACCTAACACCCAAAGTTAAAGGAGGAAAGGTTTATGTGGGTCACAGTTTGTCGAACTTTCAGCACACAGTTGGCTGGCTCCAAGGCAGGGTGGCCTGGCAGACAGGCACTGAAGAGACAGCTCGTGGCAGGCAGAAGACAGCAAAAGCAAGCACATGAACAGCGGCAAGCCTCTTTCTGTCTCTTATATCTTATCCAGGCCGGGTAGCACTCCCACCCTTAGTCCTAGCGGGGCACCGTGAATCAGCCCCAGCGTCACACACTCTAGATCCAGCCACCTCCGAAAAAGCCCCACCTATGACTGCATAAGGCTTTGGGGGACATCTAGCCTCAAGCTTTCAAAACTACCCTAATAGGCTCAGAGACTCAACAGCAGGCCCTACTGCGTGCAAAATCACAGTGAACACCTTGCACTGCTCTTCATGTTCAGCCTGAGCATGAGTTTCCTCAAAGGTAAAATAGGGAGAGTAGCAACAGTGACCATTTAGCAAGTCCACTGTTAGTCTTTCTGTGTCTTGGGCACTAACCCTTAACATAAACTTTATCACGTAACACAGCCTTATGAGATAGGTTGTTAGCGCCATTTCAAAGTTGAGGCAAGTAAACGTTAGGGAGGCTAAGTGGGTGATTCAAGGCCACACAGCTATTCAGTCACTCACATAGATCTCCTTGGGTTCCACTGGGCTGCTCAGGCTCATAAACTTATTTTTTTTTTAAATTTTTTTATTTATTTATTTATATGTGTGTGTGTGTGTGTGTGTGTGTGGCCAGCTCAGCCCACCAGGGGGCAGGGCTGGCTGGCATGTGGTGCTGGGGGATTGAACCGCGGTCCCTGTGCTTTGCTAAGCTTGTTCTAAGTAGGTGCTCTAGACCACTGAGCCATCTCACCAGCCCCAGGCTCATAAACTTATATGACCATGTTTGCATGGTGCTCCGCACGTGGCGCTTAGCACGGACACACTGACCACACAGTAAGTCCCCAGAGGAGGCCACCGTGAGTAGGAGTTGTGACTGTGATTGTGATACAACCACAGCAAAACTCCCTGGGTTTGTAAGGATCCCAGGTACTTGGCTGGAATTTTGGCTGCCATCTCAGAGGCATTTGGAGACATTACTGACAGATTCTCTGTGTGATCCCCTGAGGGCCCCTGAGGATTAAGGAGGTGGAGAGAGGGTGCCCTGTGAGGGGAGGGCAGGACATCCCAGGAGGAGAAAGCCAGGACACAGGTTGCAGTTCTGTTGCTGTCCCTCCCGTGCCCAGCTTCAGAGAGTTTCTGAACAGAGATGGCCCTGAAATGCCCCCATGCCCATTCCCTCCTGTCTGTGGAAGGGGACAGGGGCTGAGCATGCAAGTTTCCAAGGCTGAGATCTCCCTTCAAGACAGGGACTCTTAGGGGCCAGGGAGATGGCTCAGTGGAATAAGCGCTTCCCTGGCAAGCGCAAGGGCCTGAGTTCAATCTCTGGTTCTGATTCTGCCAAAAAAAAAAAAAAAAACAGGGACTCTTACCCATGGGAAGGAGCAGTCTCTATCCCGTCCCATCACCTCAGGTGATGCCTGTCTGTATGAGAGGAGCTAATTGCCAAGCGTGCTTCCTCCAGGCTCCTGAGCCATAAGCTGTGCTGTAGTAAAAGCCACTGCTGTATTGAAGCAAAAGATTCCTAGAGGGAAAAGGCAGGGATGCCACTGTGGGTCTCTGTGCAGCCTGGCACCTCTTGGGTGCCTGGCACCTCAAGTTGCCCATTTGAGTCTGGCTATGCATGGGGACAAATGCTGCCTGCAACCTGGGTCCTCTTCCAGTAGCTTCTTGGAGAAGCCAGCCCCATCCTTATACAGTTGGTCTTTCTTTGTCACAGAGGAGGATGAGGAAGAGTTCATTGAAGAGGAAGAAGTTCAGGAAGAGTTGTCCACAGAAGAGAAAGAAGGTAAGAAATCTATCTGTCTCCATCCATCTTCCCCTCTCCCTCCCTTCTTCCCTCCCTCCCTTCTTTCTTTCTTCCCTCCCTTTTCCCTTTTTTTCTTCTGTAATGGGAAGCACTCACTGTGTGCCAAGTTCAGTAGGGGCGCTGGTGCTTATGCCTGCTCCTGTTCTCACTGTGTGCTTTAAACCTGTCAAAGGTAGTCTTATTATCTACACCTTCAAATAAAGTGACAACAAAAACACTGAACCATTCATGTTACAAAGCTCCCATTTTATACCTAAGGACATTCCTAAATGCTAAGTAATACAGCACACAGAGGGAAGAGGCACCAGGCTCAGGAGCCGGGCTGGGCCCACTAATAAATTGCTGACATTTTAAAATTAAGAAAAAAAAAAAATTGAGGGGCCAGCCAGATAGCTCAGCAGACTAAAGCTCCTGCTTAGGCAGAGTACAGTGGCCAGGGTTTGATCGCCAGCCTGCCATGCCATCCCCACCCCCAGGGCATGCTGAAATGGCGATTGAGACTGGGCGTGGTGGCACGCACCTGTAATCCCAGTGCTTGGAAGGCTGAAAACAGGAGGATCACTATGAGTCTGATCTGTGTTGTGAGACCCTGTAGACCCTGTACTAAATGCATTAAAAAAAGAAAAGAAATTTTTAAAAAATTAAGGATTTAAAGAAAAGAAGATTTAAATGCGAGGAATCTGCATTTCTACTTCTAGTGGAAATTTAAAAAAAGCAAACAACATTGGGCTTGGGCTTCCCCTCAGTCACCAAGGGGCAGCTCTGGGTAGGACTGTCCCCTTTAAAGCTGGCATGTACTTGGGGGCTCGCTTGGCCTTGCCTCCCACCACAGGCCTCATTCATGTTGTCTGCTGGTCCCGCAGGCGTCTGATGCTGCCACCCTGGCAGAGCTTGGTTAGGAGCTTGGCTCCTGACTGACAGCTCTACCCCAGATGTGATACTGAACAGTTCTTGATTTCTCCAAGCCTTGGGTGACTCATCGGCTCAGGGGGGCAAAACACTTGCTAACTTTGTGGTTGTTTTCTGCAGTATTGGAGAGATTAAACCCAGGACATCACACATGTTAGGCAAATCCTTCACCACTGAGCAAATCCCCAGCAAGTTGTCTGTTGGTCTTAAACTTGTGACCCCACTTCTTCAGCTTCCCAATTAGCTGGAATTAAAGGCATGCTCACCATTCTTGGTTGCTAATGTTATTTTTCAAGCCTAGTTTGTGGAACTAAGTTCCAACCCAGTGGAAAAATATAGTTCTTGGAGTTTTGTATAAAATTTGCAATCCACAGTGTGCTGGCAGCTAAATTCTATTTTGGTTTTAAAAGGAAAAGACCAAGCAGGAAATGCAGTTTGACAGTCTTACCTGCCACTGTAGGGCTTTTTTTCCTCCTCCTCCTCCTCCTCCTC